GCCCCTCCTCGGCCCCTCCTCGGCCCCTCCTCGGCCCCTCCTCGGCCGCTCCGCTCCGCCCCAGCCCGGCGGCCCCGCTGGGGGCCGGGGATCTCGGGGCGGGGCAGGGGCGGTCCCGCGGCACCACCGCCTCCCTCCCGCCTCCCGACAGTGTTTGCAGGGGTTCCTCCGCTCCGGCCCGCACTGCTCTGCTCCTTCCCTTCTCGCCTCCTCCGCTCCCTCGCCGCCCGCCGCCTCAGCTCCCTTCCCTCCCGCGTCCTCTTGCGCTGACCTGGCGGCACTGGGTCTCACCCGACATGGCGAGCAAGGACGGTAGGAGACCCCCTCCCTCCTCCCCCGGCCGTGTCTCCGGCCGGGCGGGGGTGTGAGGGTGCGTGTGCGCGGGGATGGCGGATCTGGGGCGCTCCGGGATTCCTCCCGAGGAGCTTCCGCGGGGGTGGAGCGGCTGCACTTTTCCTGCCGCCAGCCGCCCTCGAGGGCCCTGCGGGACCCCCGCTCCTGCCCCGTCCCCGCCCTGGGATGGCCCGGGCCGGGGCAGCACCCCCCTTCTCCCCTCTCCGTGCTTCAGCTCATCCCTTCCCTTTCCGCAGTGCTGGAGGACACGGTCGAGGAGCGCGTCATCAGCGAGGAGTACAAGATCTGGAAGAAAAACACCCCCTTCTTGTACGACCTGGTGATGACACACGCCCTGGAGTGGCCCAGTCTCACGGTGCAGTGGTTGCCTGATGTGACCAGGTGAGAGAAGGGAAAAGAGACCGGAGAAAGTGCCGGGGAGGCGCAGAGCTCAGCGGGAGCTGAGTCTGTGCAGCTCCTTGTTCCGCTGCGCCTTTTCTGTTAACCATGTCTGCTGAGTAACATGAGGGTAAAATCCAGGCCAGATCAGAATAATTTGGGTTAGGCTACCCTTTGTGAGCTTGTAACACTTTATTTTGCTCGCAACTTTAAAAACCCCTTTGGTATGCAGAAGCATTGAGGGAAAAAGTCACAAGCTGATACTTCACAGAACTCTAGTTTATCCTAGCAGAAGGTGTTGGGAGGTGTGAACAGAGAAATCTTTCTCAGTTTATTGCTAAATAAGAGATCTAGCACTCATATGTAGTTAATTCTTATCAGAGAAATCTATCTACTAAATTAGCTTGTTCTTGAAGACCATTTTTCGTCCTGTGCTACAGATTACTATTCTATCTAAGCTATAGTATCTGTCTCTGATACTTTTTAAGTCTGGACTAGTCTATTATTCTAAAACTGGTTCTTCAAGTCTAGCTTTTGTCCCTGGTTCATTGTTGACTTCACACATACTAAGTTTACCATTCTTCCACCTCCCTTGAAAATCATGGGCTCACGGGTTAATTTCTTAAAGAATCGTGAACATGGGGATAGAATCTGTTCATGTGCCAGCTACGATAGAACTTAAATTGTTGCAATAAACACTTAGGGCTTCGCTGAGGTAGTGGACAAGGACTGGGTCCCGTGTGGTGGTGTAAACTGGATGCAGCTAGGCTTTAAAATATCTTCTGTGTAAACTTCTTGCAATTACCAGAGGATGGTCTCTTTCTTCTATAAAGTTCCATCTTATATATGTGATGTTTTAGTTGGTAGTTAGATGATCACTTAGTTTAGTATACCAGAATATTTGGAGATGATGATGATGATGTGAGCTAACTATTTGTGGCACGGAGAAAATGAAGTGGGGATTTGAGAGTGTGGGGCCCTTATGAGGAACACTTCTACTTGCCTCATATTTTGCAGATTGACTTAATATTCAGTTTAAAACCTGGTATTTCCAATTATCCAGTGTCAAAATATGTAAGCCATTTAAGGCAAGGACTGCCTCTTTGTATGGCACCTGACATGATGGGACACCTGTTCCTGATGCAAGTAAGTGCATGTGCATTGTGTGTTTCTTGTGTTGTTTTGTATTTTTGCCCCTCTACACTTGGAAGTGGTGTAGTAATGCCTGATGATATTAAAACATTGTGGTTTATAATTGCCCAAATGATTCCTGAATGCTTAGATTCAGGCAACATAATTAGTTTGTTGGTTTCAAGAATACAGAAATTGCTTGAGTTTGACTGCTCAGATTTTTACTTTCAGAGATAAATGACACTGTCCATCAACCTGTTATTTTTAATTAAATGTTGCATTTAACCACCAGAAGAGAAATTTTATTCTAGTTAAGTAGGATTTGTACAGTATTAAAAAATGAGCGTCTGAAATAAAATAACTGGTAAAAGCTTCTAAGAGAAGTAACTAAAATAGGTTGCTACTTGTCCCCTCAAAATTTTGTTTTGTGAAAAGTCATACCGGTTGTTTTCTAAATCAATACTGTGAGACTGCTAGGGAAATTAGATACAAGTAGGTATTAGTGTTACCTTTAACTGCTGTGCAAACTGTAACTATCCCTTTCAAGGTACAGTGACAATGTTTACTGGCTTGTTTTGTCACTCTGCCCTTGCTGGTTGTATCTTTGGATTGCTCATGTCAGAATCTAGTTTGCTTTATTGTGCGAGTCTTTGCGACAAAGGGAAGGATTTCTTACATGAGTATCTCTCTTCTAGCTCCCTGAAGAGGTACGGATCTTGAGGGCTGTTGATGCTATAGCTGTGAAACTTCTGGAACTGAGTATGTAATTTTATTCCATGCATTTATTATTCTAAACAGGCCAGAAGGAAAGGATTATGCTCTGCACTGGCTGGTTTTGGGAACGCACACGTCCGATGAACAGAACCACCTGGTTGTTGCCAGAGTCCAGATTCCCAATGATGATCAGTTCGAAGCTCTGCAGTATGACAGTGAGAAAGGAGGTGGGCATTCAGAATTCTTAGATTCTCTTTTAGCAATATCATTACTAGCTGTTCTCATAATGATATTCTGACTTTCTGTTAAATACTAAAGTGCATGGACGTATCCTTACCAGTCCACACTAATTCTAGATCATTAACTGTGACTAAAAGAGGAAACTTTGTTTCAGAAGAACTCAGGTAGCATCATGATATACAATCCCTACTAGAATTTCTACCAGCTCTGTCAGTTGTGGTAAAAGCTGGTACACATCTACCTCAAATAGAAACTAAAGCTCTGAAAGAGGATTCCAAATATCAAAAGTGTGTCACATGGTGTGAGTCTTTCCTAGGCTTTCTTGTATTTGAGAGGATGCTTACCACTGTTTCTTGGAGTGGGGAAGATGCTGTGAAATGCTGCTTCAGGAGTCTAAAATGATTGATGTGATAAACTAACATTTTCTGACTAATGTAGAGTTTGGTGGCTTTGGATCTGTGACTGGCAAAATCGAAATGGAGATTAAAATTAACCATGAAGGTGAAGTGAACCGTGCTCGTTACATGCCACAGAATCCCTGCATAATTGCGACAAAAACACCGTCTGCTGATGTGTTGGTATTTGACTACACTAAACATCCATCAAAACCAGGTGGGTCAGGCTCCTCAAAGTTAACCAAAATGCCTCTTGTTATCGAGGGCTAAGCTTGTGTTTAACTGTGATTGGGAGGATAGTTGATGGATTCTGGAATCTGAATGAGAAGGCCCGTATCTTCAATGACTTTAACTGCGTAGTTATCCTCAATATCATAAGAGAATCTTGATAGAAGTAGCAGAACCTCCAAAGAGGTTCAAATATAAAATACAGTTATTGCAACAGAAACAAAGTTCTTGGGTGATAATGATATTCTTTTGGATTGATGTGCAAGGTGATGCTAATGGAAGGAATTTTCTGTCTTTCAGACCCAAGTGGAGAGTGTAATCCTGATCTTAGATTAAGAGGGCACCAGAAGGAAGGCTATGGCTTATCATGGAACTCAAATTTGAGTGGGCATCTTCTCAGTGCATCAGATGATCATGTAAAACCCTCATCTTTTCCCTCACTTAAAGAACCCTAACTCTTCCTAATTTATGATGTAATAGATACTTAGAAAAAATCTGTCTTAGTGCAGGTGTGTATTGTTATGTGAGAAAGTTCTCACATATTGTAGTTATATTCCTAAAGGCTGTCAGTTGGCTTTAGGCTGTAATCAACACGTTCTTTTAAGGTTCTTGATGAAGTAAGAACAGACTGTTTGTATAGTTGTTTGCTTGAAGAAGCCCCTTAAATTGGGTTGGATGGAGACCATAAATTAGTAAGACTTTCAAGGATTAATTGAACTAATTGCTTATAAATTTCTTTGTGGACTTTAAAAGTGTAAATTACTTTTGTGACCTTACAAGTAATCCTTGGACCTTGAACTTACAGAAAACTGATTGATAACTTAGCTCTCTTCTCACTTATGGCACATTAAGTGTTTCTTTTCAAAAATAAAGAACTGCTTCAGTTTCTCTCTCTGCTTATAGATAGAGTGTGATTGATTATTTTTTGAAAGATGATACAGTCAGAGTCTGCATTTCAATAGAATGTAACTTATTTACAGACAGTGTGTTTATGGGATATAAGTGCTGGACCAAAAGAAGGCAAGATTGTGGATGCAAAAACCATCTTTACTGGGCACTCTGCAGTAGTAGAAGACGTGGCATGGCATCTGCTCCATGAATCTCTGTTTGGATCTGTAGCGGATGATCAGAAGCTTATGATGTAAGTTGGGGTTAGGAGGTTTTTACATAGTGCCTTCTGTGTGCTGCTGGTGTACCTAGTGCAGAGCACTTGGATTAAAAAAAAATCTGAGTTTTGGAATCATTTCACGTAGTAGCTCTTTTAGGCAATTAACTATAGTAGTGGTGCCGAATCACTGAAATCTACATGCTATTTAATGTTTCCACCTCATTTGAAAAGAAGATGTAACTAATATCTATGTCAGCTTACTGGTGTGAGCTGCTCATGTACAACAGACACAAAATAGGGAAGGTTTTGGAATGAAAACTGTAGTTCAGAGTTGGATTTAGTAATAATGTTGTCTACTTATATTAAGGTGTAGTGAAAAAGAACCTCCTGTAAAAACTTATGTTTATTTGCTCTCCCTCTTTCCTCCTTGCCCCTAACCCTTCCCCAAACCCTCCATTGTAACAGTTGGGACACCAGATCTAATGCCACATCCAAGCCAAGTCATTCCATAGATGCTCATACAGCTGAGGTCAACTGTCTGTCCTTCAATCCTTACAGCGAGTTCATTCTGGCAACTGGTTCTGCTGACAAGGTTTTTACTCATGTATAGTTTAAATTCTGAAATATTCTAGATGAAAGCCATTATAATAAAAACAATTTCTTGTTACTTCTGTCTGCCAGACAGTGGCTCTATGGGATCTTCGAAACTTGAAGTTGAAACTCCATTCTTTTGAGTCCCATAAAGATGAGATTTTTCAGGTGGGTAAACTTCTCACAACCTGTAGAAAAAAAAAACGAGAAGAGTACTGACTTGGAGAAGAACCTGTAGATTTGTGTTCTTGTAACACAAATAAGTCCGTTGAACCAAAATTCCTTATTTTATGTTTAGCAATTACAGACAGTAGCACATAGTTTCTTTCTGGCTTTCCCCACTTGACTTTGAGGCAAG